CCATTTGCCATTCTTCTTTGGCACTACGATTGTGTTAGAGATCCATCTTGGGTAGTGCACTTCTCTAATTGCTCCTGCCTCCAGCAGGTTTCCTACTTCTTCAGCCACTATCTCGGCATGGTGGAGTGACGATCTACGGGTGCGTTGAATGATTGGTCTGGCGGATGATAAAATAGTATTTTCTATTTGTCGATCAAAAAAGTTCCCCCCCTCAAAATAGGCTAAAACTAAAAAAAAAAACTTATTTCATAGAACAAGCCAAAAAAATAACAACTTATTTCCTCTTTGCTTCTTGACTTAATTTTTCAGTTTGGAATTTTTTCAAAATCTATCCTATTTTTTAATAAAAAAGGAAAATTACTAGTTTTTTTTAATGTCTATCAAAGAAGAAATTAGCACCAAAAAAAAAAAAGTCTAAAAAAAGTAAAAAAGGGTTTTTTTAACAAATGATTGGATGGGCTTTTTGGTGCCAACCTAGTTGGGATAATTTAGCCCATTGTGATGCTTTTGCACTTCCCTCTTCTTTATTGATGTATTCTGTGTTGTACTCTGTACTTGATTCTTACATCAATAAAGTTTCCTTTTACTAATCAAAAAATTTTTTTTTGTCAAGTTCTTTTGCAGGCGCCAAGTCTTTGTCTTGTAGCTTCAGTTGTTTAAATGTTTCATAGTACATGATTTCACATGAACTACCCTGGTCAATCAGAATCCGCTTGACATCAAAATCCTTGACTCGGAGAGTGACGACTAGGGCGTCATTGTGAGGGCAATATATCCGTTCTAAGTCTTTATCTGAAAAAGGACATGACGTTTGTGGCTTCTGTCTTCCCCTTCTTGATGACAGGTTGAGCACTTAGCACCTCTCTTAAGTGTTCAGCCTTTTTGATTGATCCTCTGAGCTCGCATACACGCTCAAGTTCGAAAACTCCATGAATCACATTGATAATGCCTTGAAGGCGGGGCGTCGATTAGCATCCCATTGGGGTTATTATGGTTCTGGGGGGCTGGTTGCGTCCCTCCTTCAATGTATTTATGCAAGAGACCTGCCGCCACCAATTCCTCCAGGTGCTGTCTCAATGGTGTGCAATTCTTAGTGCGGTGCCCCTTTTCTTTATGAAAGGTGCACCACGATCTTTCGTCGTAGTCTTTCTGTGCTTCTCCCAGCTTAGCTGGCCACTTGACGAAAGGCTCATCTCTTATTTCGCTCAGAATTCGATATATCGGTTTCTTGAACACCGTGGTTATGGCAATACGAATTCTCAACCATCTTTTATCCGGGTCTTCGCCGTTATCTCGTCTGCCATACTCCTTGCATCGTGCTTTTTCTTCAAGCACGGTTCGTAAGTCGGATGATCTGGGTAACTCCGTCTGTCTAGATCTGGTTTGGTGCGTATGTGAGGGCCAATACGTGCTTCCTTCAGTGTATGATCTTTCAGATCTCGTCCTCTCAGACCTGGAGTGACGAGTTCTGGAAGACCTGGATTGAGTATCGCCTGTCCTGAGGCTTCTACTCTCTCCTTGCGAGGGTGTGGTATTCCTACTATGATTTTCTGAGTGGCGAGGGGGCGTCTTATTTTTGCGCTCCTCTCCTGTCGTCACTTCTTTGTTCTTTATCTGGCACTTCAAGGCCTCCATGTCCGCCGCCATCTTCCTTATCAATTCATCTTGCCCCTTCACGTGGTCCTCCAGAACTTGAGGATCAATCCTCCGCCTTTGCCTGTCAGGACTTTGTGAATGAGAGTGACGGGGGCTGTGAGTCTGTCTCCCCCTAGTATCCCTCCTGGTGTTATGTCGCTGGGACTCCAAGTCCGCCATGGGAGGGATAGAAGGTAATCCCTCACGCCTTGCACCCCCATCTGGAGTTTGCCTGTCGATGGCGGACTGTGGCAATTCTTCAATGTGTGCCATTGTTTCTAAAGAGGTAAAGCTTGATCAAGAGGTTTTGTCCTGTCTGTTACTTTCCACAGACGGCGCCAATTGTACGGGAAAGAAATAAACATTTTCGTATAATCCTGTTGATCAAGTCTGCGCTCCTCTGTACGTCGTCGCTTTATCACCTGAAAACACAAACGTGAGCTAGCCGGCGGGTGTGTGCCGGAAACCTCTCCGATGCCTAAGTCAGTAAGGTTGACAAATAGACAAAAGCTCTGTATATTCAGAAAGCAAAGTTGTGTGTTACCTCTCCAAAGGTGATGTTTGTGAGCTTTTATAGGTTTCGTGTGGCATAATCCTAGTAGGACTTCTACTCCTCCATGCAGAGTCCTCCTAGGATTCTTATTCTTGAAAGATAATGCTTATCTTTCAACACCCCCCTCACTGCTTAAACCAAGTGAGATGGTTTTTACCATGGCCGAACTCCAACATGACCGAAGTAATCATGGCTATGTTGAGCCGCAGAGTAGGTCGAACTATCCTTAGTTCGGTTCTTCCTTTCGCTATACCTTATCTCGGTTCTCTCATGTACGAATCATGGTGTGTTTAGACCGAGCTACCGAGTAGCAAGGTTCTGACCGTTCCAACCATAATGCGCTATGACCGGACTAACTCCAAGTCGCTTCCGGACCGGAGTAACATTATATTTATCTCGGGCCGGAGTAATTTTGTACCTCTCTTGGGCCGGAGTAACTTTATATTTATCTCGGGCAGGAGTAATTTTACGGCCTTTTTACTCAACCCTTCGTATAGGGGGCCATAATGACCATCTCCCAGCTCGGCCCAATTTTCACAAAAATTACCCTCTCATGTAATTACCAAACGAGACTTAAGTGAAACTAATTTTTTTTTTTTAAAATGATTAAGATAGCCCCGTAGTGTTTCGTTGGGTTAACGAGTTAAGAGTATCCACACCAACCTCTTCAAATTTTTAGTCAAATTATAGCTAAAAAAGTTATTTTGCTATTTTAGTTAGTCACCTCTTTAGTACCTACTGTATCAAAAATATTATTTTCTTATTATGTTTGTTATTCTTTTCTTTTATATTAAATTAATGAATTACCAACCAAACAATTCTTAAAAAATGTAAAAAAAAAAAATTTAAAAAATGGTCGTTGACCGGTTGATCGGCCAGACTTCCGGGCGGACATCCGGTAATATTAATCTCTGTGTTGTAGCGATGAATAGTACCTTACTTGTTGTAACAAGATACTGTAGCAATCATAAATTAGCACGATACTGTAGTGAGACTGATGAACGTCCATTTTTTATGAATAGTATCGCTAGTTTAGTTAAAAAACGATTTTAACTAGTTTGATACGGATGCTCTAAGGCCCTATCTCTTGTCGAAGAGGCTTCAGGCTAAATTTACCTCCTTCACCTCTAACTATTATCATTTTTTAAAATTTTATTTTTATATTATCAATTTCAATTTCTGATTTATTAAAATGATAGTGAAAATAGAATAAAATGGTCACTCACTTGTAATGATAAATAATAATTTTATTTATAATATTTTTTCTAATAAATAAAACGTGAAAACAAGCATTTTAATACAATTCATTTTAACCAAACACAAGTTGTTTAGAGTGTTCCAAATAAGTACACTTTTTGACTTTTTGAATTAAAAAGTTGAGGAAAAAAATATGGTTGTTTCAGATAATTTTTTGACTTTTTACGAAAAAATATGTATTAAAAAATTATATAAATTAGTGTATATGAGAAGCTTGCGCAGAGTAGACAGTACGGTGGGTAGAGTAATGTATAGGAAAAGCTTGCCTCCTTTTCGAGTATTGAATTAGACGGTGTTGTTCGGCCCGTGGGGGCCCACCACGGGTCTCATTTTGCTAATCGGAACCGTCAATGTGTAGAACTCGTTGAGTACTATATGATTGTAAAAAATCACGTTATTCGAATATCGATAACCATCTAATTGGATTAGTTTTTTTGCCAACCGTTAACTATAACACCATCCAGTTTTTTATACAAAACTGATTTGATCATGTAGTTAGTGATATCTGATCAACGTGATTTTTTACAATTACTCGACGAGTTTTACACATTGAACGGTTCAGATTATCAAAATGGGACCCATGATGGGCCCCCAAGAGCCGAACAACATCGTCATGTTTGCTTCTCTTCCTCCCTTTGTACAAACGGTGGACAGCTAAAGTACAACTCACGTGACATGTAAGTTGTACTTTTTTTGGTAAAATTAATTTTTTTTATATTTTTTTTTGTGAATAATGATAACTTTTTAACTTTTTAAGTAACCTTTTAGCTTTTTTGAGATATGTCAAACTAGCCCTTAGGTCTTATTTGGAAATGGGAGAAAATAGTCAAAAAAATTAAAAAAAAAAATCATTAAAAGTTATCATATCCCTTTATATATTTTTTTATACTTCTTTTCGTTCAAATAGTAAAAAGTAATAATTAATTAATTAAAATAATTAATTCTCAAACTGGCCTTTAATTTATTTATTTTTTATTTTTAATTTCAACTTATTTACTTGTAAGACCATCTCCAACGGTGAACCAAATTCACCATCAGATTTGAATTTGGTGAAAAATTATTACGTTTATGGCTCAAACGGTTTCACCAAATGGATATCAAATTGAGAATTCACCAAAAGTTTCACCAAAATGAGAAGTGGAGCAGATTTCACCAAAACACTATATGTTTACGTTGGAGGTGGATCCCACCGGACAACCGACCGGACGTCTTCCCGGATGACCACCTTATGCAAAAATTTGTAAAAATTTTACACTAGGCGGTCGACCACCTCTTTATTTTTTCAGTTTTTCAAGTTTTTGCATTGGCCAGTTATTCGCCCGGTCGACCGAAAGTTTGATGAAAAATTAATTTTTCCGTTGAAACATGTGATACCACATAGAGGAAATCATTTCTTTTTTACTCAAATTTGAGAAAAAAATCTAATGAACTATTGAACATGCTCTAAAGATTCAGAAGACTAATTTTAGAAATAAATTTTAAAAAAAAATTATTTCACCGCTTCTAGAAGGACAAAGCTCTGCCCTCGACCGCAAGTACCTCACCGTTTTAATATTAATTTTTTTTAAAAAAAAATTCAACTCTCTCACTTTTCCTTCCCTTGAATTGAATCCTTCCTGAGCAAGAAAGTGGGAAGCTGCGTTCGCATTCAGCTTTCTCTTAAAAAACGTGTGACAAATTTCTATTCCCCTAAACAATAGTAATAATAAAACAAAGCAAACAATTCCAACTCCGCAACAAACTCCAATTACGTACTTTCCTCAAAATCTCCATTATCACTCCTACCCTCTCAGCTCCGCCATGAGCGACGGCGACGACCACCTGGACATCCCTTCTTTAGAGCTCAGCCGCCTCAAAGCCATTTCCGCCCTCGGCCGCGGAGCCAAAGGCGTCGTGTTCTTGGTCCAAACCCAATCATCATCCAAAAACGAATTCATTGCATTGAAGGCAATCTCTAAAGCTTCCATTGACAAGAAGAACAGAATCAATCACGACAGCGATGGAAGCGAGTACCGACGAATTTGCTTTGAACGAGAGGTCTTGAGGCGCTTTCGTCATCCGCTTTTGCCGAGATTGCGTGGCACTGTCTCCACCGATAAGATTGTTGGTTACGCCATCGATTACTGTCCAGGACGCGATCTTCACTCTCTCAGAAAGCAACAATCGGAGAAAATGTTTTCCGATGATATCATCAGGTAATTCACGTCAATTTCCTGTGATCAATGAAAAAAAGTCCTGATTTCTATGAAGATTTGGTCATATAACCGTTTTATCTCTATCTCTTTAGGTTTTATGCTGCGGAATTAGTACTGGCATTGGAGTACTTGCACGAATTAGGGATAGTATACAGAGATTTAAAGCCTGACAACGTAATGGTGCAACAAGACGGACATTTAATGCTCATCGATTTCGATCTCTCAACAAAACTCTCTCCAAAAAATCCCGAATCTCTTCCTCTTGTGAAATCTGAGCCTTTGAAGACGAAGAAGAAGAGACGATTTTTCTCTTGCTACTCCGGCGTTTCGCCTGAAGACTCGGTTTCTCCGACCAAACCAGGTCTTAACCAGGCGAGTTCCGAGTCGGATTCGGTTAAGAAGTCGAACTCGTTCGTTGGCACGGAGGAGTACGTGGCGCCCGAGATCATCTCAGGCGACGGCCACGATTTCGCCGTCGACTGGTGGTGCTTAGGTGTCGTTCTCTATGAGATGCTGTACGGAGCGACGCCGTTTCGGGGGTCGAATAGGAAGGAGACGTTTTACCGGATTCTGACCAAGTCGCCGGAGCTCGTCGGAGAGCCAACGCCGTTGAGGGACCTGATTGGTAAATTGCTGGAAAAGGACCCAAAGCAGAGGATATCACTGGAGGGAATCAAGGGCCACGATTTCTTCCAAGGGGTTAGATGGGATCTGATCCTGCAGTTGGCGAGACCACCATACATTCCCGTAGGGCCTGAGGTAGAGGATATGGAGGGACATAAAGGAATTGACGTGGAGTGTTTTGTCCAGGAAGTGTTTGAAATTGGGAGTGAGGACAAAGTGGAAGCGAAGAAAGATTCAGAAAGCAAAACGAATAAAGTGAACATAAATAATGGGGTGTGGGTCGAAGGATTGAATCACCCCTCTCAAACTGACAATTTCATTGTCTTTTAACTACTCAATTTTGTTAATAACTAGACTCATCAAAATGATTCTATAACATATTGTTTGATTGGTTGTAATAGTTGTAACAAATTCTATGTTGATTTAAGCTTACTATTTCTAAAATTGCTTTATCTCTTTGATATTTCTTAGTCATCTAATGAAACTTGCATTGGTTAATTCTGAGTTGTGAATTTTTTTCTTTTTTTGGTTTGTTTTAAATTAAGAAAATGCTGATGACTTTTAAAATAAAAAAAAATGTTTCATCTATACAATTTCATCCTTTATAACTCTCCAAATAATGTGGCACGAAAATAAATAAATTAATGATCCATACTCATACACTTTTCTCTTTCAAAATTTTTCAATCAATTCGGGAGATTGGTGGAGGAGAATTTTGTGTGAATCTAACATTATTATTTAAAATATTATTTTTAAACTTACTTTTAATGACATAAACAATCAAACCCTTGTAAAAGTAAATTTATCAGTGAAATTTTAAAGATACCAAATATTACTTTTAAAAATAATACAGTATTTAGATAAAATATATATATATATATATATATAAATTGTATAAGAAGAAGAAAAAAAAAAAAGTGAAATTATACATACAAAAAAAATCAGTTTACTTTTTTCTTCTCTTCACAAATTTCTCTCAAATTCTCTATCTAAACAAATCTAAACACAACTTGAATTGTGATCTAAACTATAGTGCAAGTTCCGGAGAATTTAACTTTAGGAATTAACAAAACAGTAATAATACACAAATAAAATATATATGAAATCATTCTTTCATTTTCAATTAAAATACTCACAATTATTCTCATAACTTCACAAATCATTATATTTTATCATTTTGAATGTTTTATTCGTATAAATTCCCGTTTACAAATCACTTTCCTTAAAAGAGAATCAAGAGAAGCGCCTCTTGCTCAAAACCGAAAACGTACGATCACATAAAATTGACCTCTATCCTACCACATAAATTAGACACAACAATAAATTTCAATAATAAAAGCTAGCTAGCGACATACTAGCACGGGACACAGCCATGGCCACACAACTTCGGCTCATTTAAAGGTGAAGTGGTAGTTGTGAAACTATCACTAAGACTTTTCAAACAATCGACCTCCAATAAGTTGGCCGTCCACAACCAACAATAATTATTTAGTGGGTAAATCACATTGACACCCCTGATATTTATATTTATTACAGTTCTCTCTCTCACATTTTAAAAATTATATATATCTTTTGAGGTTTAAAGTTTTATTACAGATTCTTTCCTCAGTAATTTAATTTTTTTAAATATTAATTTTGTACTCACTGGATAAATTACATTGACACCCCTTACATTTTAGAAATTACAATCCTCTCCCTAAGGTTTAAAGTAGCGTTACCAATTGCCCCCTCGGTTAGTATTAGTTAGAAAAAAAATCATTGAAAAAAATTATTTGAAAAAAAAATAAATTGAAAAAAAAATTTGTTAGTAAAATTTTTAAATTTCTGTTTAAAAATCAACATAAACTCATTTTTTAAATTTACGTTTTTTCCTCAAATTTACAAATGGAGACAATCATTTATAAACTAAAAAAATTATCAAACAACTTTTTATGACAGTTTTTAAAATTTTTATAAATATAAATTGAAAGCTGAAAACGAAATAGTTACCAAACAAGTTTCAGATGGTAAAAATATCGTAAAATTAACAAATAATTAAATAAGTTATCAACGAAAGAAATGACTTATCAAAAGACTCTTAGGCTATGTATGGTTTGATTTTTAGAAAAGAAATTAAAAAATTAAAAATTAATCCGGTTAAGAAATAAGAAATAAAAAATAATTATCATTTTTATATAATTTTTATTTTTCGAGTGGTTAGAAATAATTTTTTACAAATTAAATTGAAACAACCATACGTATGTATATAACCTACCCAAAAGTTAAAATGATAATTATTTTTTACCCTTAAATGATAATTATTTTTTATTTTTTATTTCTTAACCAAATTAATTTTTAATTTTTAAAAAAAAATTCTAAAAATCAAACCATACATAGCCTAAGAATCTTTTAATAAGTCATTTCTTACGTTGGTAACTTATTTAATTATTTGTTAATTTTATGACATTTTTACCATCTGAGGCCTATTTAGTAACCATTTCGTTTTTAATTTTCAATTTATATTTACAAAAATTTAAAAAACTGTCATAAAACTTATTTGATAAATTTTTTGATTTATAAATGGTTGTCTCAGTTTGTAAATTTGAGGAAAAAACATAAATTCAAAAAATGAGTTTATGTTGGTTTTTAAATAAAAATTTAAAAATTTTACTAACAAAATGTTTTTCAATTAATTTTTTTTTCAATGAATTTTTTTTCCAACTAATAGACCGATGAGACAATTAGTAATGCTACTTTAAACCTTAGAGAGGAGATTATAATTTCTAAAATGTAAGGGGTGTCAATGTAATTTACCCAATGAGGGCAAAATTGGTATTTAAAAAAAATTAAATTGCTGAGGGGAGAATTTGTAATGAAACCTTAAATCTCAAGGGGGGAGATGTAATTTTCAAAATGTGAGGAAAAAATTGTAATAAATATAAATCTCAGAGGGTGTCAGTATAATTTACCCTTATTTAATCATGTAATAGCATTATCATAAAGTATGAAGAGAAATTTACAGATAAGTCTCATATATAAAATTTAAAATTTATTTAATTTTAAAATAAAATGCTTACACTAATTAATTTTATATATTTTTAATTGTTATTAAAAATCTTATTTTAAAAAAAAAAATTTAAACCGTTGTTACATTCCACTACTACCGGACTTCTAGACACTCGTTGGAATGTTTAATATCATCAGGAAGTCTCCTAAATATCACCGAAAATTTGTCAGAGTATCGCCGGAATGCTCTGAATATCACCGAAAGTCGTCGAAATGTCTAGAATATTCGTTGGGCATCAAGAATATTGTCAGAGACTCACCGGAATATCCAGAATATTGCCCAAGAAAAGAAGAACAATAAACTGAGAAATTAAAACAAAAAAACATAACAAAATGTGCTAAATATTGATAAATTGAAAGAAGAAAAAAAATATAAAAACAACAAACCTCCACAATGGAAAAAAAAACATGTCATTTCAATTTTTATAGGGTTTAAGCAAATAATTTTCAATATTGATCAAATTGAAAAACAAGCTTTGAAACAGTAAAATGTTACAGTTTCAAAGTATGATTCTATTAAGTATTTATCCTTATTAATGAAACTGAAAAATATGTTATGAAACTGCAAAATTTTATAGTTCTAAAGAAAGTTATGAAACTGAAAAATTTTACAGTTTTAAAAAATTATTCATTTCAGCACCAAAAAAATTAAACTGTAAAATTTTACAGTTTTCACCTCATGTAATTAAAACTCGAAAACAACTTGTTTAGAATTTAAAAATTTTCTCCATTATAATAGAAAAATAAAGTGTGTAGTGCAGAAAAAGTATTAAAACTGAGAAATCGAAAGAACGACATAGATATAGAGAGATACTTGTGCTCCGGCAATTATTTTTTGGTTTAGATCTACTAAAATCTTACTACAGATTTGAGTAGATCTGCTCATCTTCTTCGTCAAAAACTCATCTCTTTCATCATCAATGAGTGTGATGCAAGGAATTGGTACTCGGTGGTTATTCGTGAACCGCAATAAATAGTAGTCCTCGGTCGATGACTGTAGATTAGAAAGAGAAAAAAAAAAGAAAAGAGTGGTCGTAATGATGGTCGTCGTCGATATCAGAGAAAGAAAGATAAAGAGAAGAAGTAAGATGCAAAGAAATAGAAGAAGATAATGGCATAAGACTTTTAGATCTATTTAAAAGATTTAAAAATTAAATAGAATACATTTTTCAAAAAAGACATGTGAATAATTTACCATAAGTATTACGTAATGTTCATGGACAAAAAAGAACGGCATAACACATTAAATGAATCTTCCTTTCAGTCTAAACTAACTAAAATGAGTTAATGTTGTCCAAAAATTAAAATTAACAACAACAAAAAAAAAAAAAAAAAGAGAGAAGAAAATTCTACGTCACAAGAAAATGGCATCAACAATGCAACCAAATGTTTTGAAATTACTAAATAATTACTCAGCACGAAACAGCACCGAACTCTATCTTAAGTAAAACAAAACTTACCATAATCAATCTCACTTGGCTTTAGTACTCATTTTCTATTCTCAGCATTTTAAGAATTTCAATACACTGCCTAACCTATTGAACAAGGAAGAAGATTAGCCTGGTATAATAAAATTTCTGAATGTACTTTTGAAGTAGAACATCTTAAAGGTACTAACAATTTTCTTGCAGATTTTCTTAGCAGAAATTGTTTCAGAAAATTAAATTGTTAAACAAATAAATTTAATTTTTGCAGAAGACCTCTAGACCAAGAGGAAACAATGGACAAGGGTAAACAACCCGCTCAAGGAGATTGGGTGAACCAACAAGCGTTTCAAAAAAGAAAACTTGTAAATGTTACATTTGTAACGAAGAAGGTCACTATGCACCCGAATGTCCAAAAAGGGGAAAAAGTGCAAAGAAAATGATCAAAATCCTTGAAGAACAAGATTTTGAAATAATATATGGAAAAGAAATTTCTGATGAAGAAAAAATCTTATATGAAATTTCTAGTGATGAAGAACTAATCTTCATGATGACTAATAATAGTCAAGAAATATCTCAAGAAGTAGATAATATATCTCAAGAAGAATTACAGGCAATTCGACTTGGAGATGTAATCGGAGAAGAAAAAACTTTTACCGACGAAGAATTAGCAAAATTTGAAAAAATGCAAGAAGTTGCTACTCCAGAAATTTACAAACTTTCAAAATTTAATATCTTTTCAGCAAGAGTGTTTGAACAATACAATGGTAACACTCAAGCAAAATGGTCAGAAGAAGGAAATATTGATATTCCTTTTTTTTTATAAGAAAAGGGTTGCAAGATGGAAAAAGAAATATCCTGAAATTCAATATATTCATATTAGATTAATTCAAGTAACCATAACAGTCTTATTTCGCCAAGGGATAGATACTCCTATTTTGGCAGTAATTTTTGACAAAAGATTTTCCAACCCAATGAAAGCAATCATTAGAGGAATTCAGTCTAATTTGGCTAATGGAGTAGTTTGGTTTAATG